TCCCTCTCTCTCAATCTTCCCTCTCCCTTTCCTATCCTCTCTTTTATTCATATGATTTTTAATCTGAAATCTGCGGGACTGCCGGAATTTCTTCGGTTTAACCGGCTTTTGTTTTGTTTTGTTTAGGTTACTCAAATAGAACAAAAACTAATCAAAGAGTATATTTTCTTCACGTAGGCCACTTTTTTCCCCTCTGATAAACCCTGTTGAGTTTAAGAGGACTACAGTGTATTAATTAAAACGTTTGAAAATACTTTTATACAGTGGGGGGTGAGCGGGTGCTCTGGTGTGGTTTGCTCCTTCTTTTCTATCAAACGCCTATCGTCCGTATCTTTACTCCTTCTTTTTGTGTATGTTACTCTCTTGTAACACATCTATTCTTCGACACTTATATAACCTAATCGCGTTGCAAGTGCCGTAAAACTCATATTAAAACATACTAAAACAAACTTTCATATATTTTTGTATAATATAATTATTTTTGTTTTAAAATTCATATACATATATTTTCATCTAAATCTTTTACATTTTTATTATCTAAATCATTTTAATTTTTTTAAATGTTCAGACAGTGGGGGGTGAGCGGGTGCTCTGGTGTGGTTTGCTTCTTCTTTCCTAACAAACATCTCAGGTCCTTATTTCACCTCCTTCTTTTATACGCATGTTATCCTTTAGTAACATCTCTAATCTTGTGGCGCTCATATGATCTTATGCAGTTGCGAGCGCCGTAAAATCCTGTGCTATATAAAAAAAAGCCCCATTAACTTTATAATAATTGACTGGTCATGGTAGTTTGTTTTTTTTACCTCGAGTCTTGTTTTTTGACAGATCTGGCGGTGAAGATAAAGGAAGCTGATTTTTCCTGGGAGAAGGCTGGCCCTACAACTCTTAAAAGGTATCTTTTTCACATGCAGTTTAATTTTATAACCAATTATATTACAACAGCCACAACGGGGCTCTCGTGGCCTAGAGGTTAAGGTGTTGGCCTCTCATTCAAAGGTCCCGGGTTCGAATCCGGGTAGCGACCGAAAAATGTTCTTCTCTAAAATTGTCTCCTTTCACCTCCTTCCCTGCTCTCTTGCAATGTTCTGTTGTCTGCTTTCATTTCCACTTTCTGCCCCCACCACTTCACCTCCTTTGCCCCCTCCTCTGGGCTCCTGACTCTTTCTGCAGCCTTTCTACTGCTACTCCTTGGCTCCTCCTTACTGCTGTCTTTCTGCCACACCCCTGATCTTCTGGTAGGAAAGATCTACACCTAGCCTTCTCGGACAAGGGCGAAAAATCTCGGAGGGCCCGTGTGCAAGTTGCGCACGTTAAAGATCCCTTGATGGTCTAAAATCGATAACAGTAGGCTTCGGCCGCCACCCGGGCAAAATTCAAAATTTCCTACCAACTGAAAATATTAGGAGTGTCCCGCGCGCTCATATGACCTATCCAGTTGCGAGCGCCGTAAAACACTTTACCAAAACAAACAAAACAGCCACAACAACAACAACCTACGACGACAACAACAAATTTAGAAACCGCGATGTGGTGAAGGAATACACCGTCCGTAAGCTGTTCAAAATGTACTAAGCCAAGACAGTAGCAGCATTTTTCTGAAGAGAAAAAAAAAATAACAACAAAAACAAGAATAACAACAACAACAACAATAACATCAACAACAACAACAACTGTTGCTTTCTTTCAACAATGATTGTGTCCTACGTAGTGTATTTTTTCTTGCATTCTTCATTCAGAATCTGATAATCGACAAAATATTTCATTAGCACATATATAAACAACACCATAGATTAGGAAAATAAAAACTAAAGTTGTTCCTGCATCCGATACGGACATTGGGGATTGCCTTGTTAGTGAGACAACTTCCTGGGCCTTCGGTATATTGTGGTAGGAGTGGTAGGGTGGCCAGTTCCTTTCCACGCCGCCTTTACTTCCCCAACCCGAAGTCAGGTACCCATTACTGCTGGGTGGGCAGGAGTGGGTGAAAAAAATCCGTGCCCGACCCGGGGCTCGAACCCAGACTTTCCGCTTCCGAAACGAGCGCACTAACCGCTCCGTTAAATAGAATAAGAAGCTGCAAAAAAAAAAATGATAAAAAATAAAATATCACAATTTTGGGCTTAGTATTAGTACCTGTACATCTGAACGGCTGGACGATGACCTGAACTTTATTGTATTGCCTTGTATTCCCCAGCATCAACATGGAGGTTCCTCAGGGCAAGCTGGTAGCGGTGGTGGGGACGGTGGGGTGTGGCAAGTCCTCCCTTCTCGCCGCTTTGCTGGGGGAGATGCATCAGCTCAAGGGATACTCAAATCTCAACGTAAGTTGTGTGGGGTCTGGTTTGTTTGTTGATATTTTAGTTAGTTAGTTTGGTTTTTGTTTGTTTGTTTGTTCGTTTGCTTTTTTTTGCTTTTATATACACCTTGCAAGCACGGGTTTGTGGGTGTATGTGGGGAGGGAGAGGGGGTGGTGGTTCTCCCTTCTCTTTCTCACTTTCCTCCCTCCCCCCTTCTCTCTCTCTCTCTCTCTCTCTCTCTCTCTCTCTCTCTCTTTCTCTCTCGCTCTTTCTCTCTCGCTCTTTCTCTCGCTCTCTCTCTGTCTCTCTGTCTCTCTGTCTGTCTCTCTCTCTCTCTCTCTCTCTCTCTCTCTCTCTCTCTCTCTCTCTCTCTCCCTCTCTCTCAATCTTCCCTCTCCCTTTCCTATCCTCTCTTTTATTCATATGATTTTTAATCTGAAATCTGCGGGACTGCCGGAATTTCTTCGGTTTAACCGGCTTTTGTTTTGTTTTGTTTAGGTTACTCAAATAGAACAAAAACTAATCAAAGAGTATATTTTCTTTCCGTTTGCCACTTTTTTCCCCTCTGATAAACCCTGTTGAGTTTAAGAGGACTACAGTGTATTAATTAAAACGTTTGAAAATACTTTTATACAGTGGGTGGTTGGCGGGTGCTCTGGTGTGGTTTGCTCCTTCTTTTCTATCAAACGCCTATCGTCCGTATCTTTACTCCTTCTTTTTGTGTATGTTACTCTCTTGTAACACATCTATTCTTCGGCAGATATATGACCTTATTGTGTTGCAAGTGCCGTAAAACTCATATTAAAACATACTAAAACAAACTTTCATATATTTTTGTATAATATAATTATTTTTGTTTTAAAATTCATATACATATATTTTCATCTAAATCTTTTACATTTTATTATCTAAATCATTTTAATTTTTTTAAATGTTCAGACAGTGGGGGGTGAGCGGGTGCTCTGGTGTGGTTTGCTTCTTCTTTCCTTTCAAACATGCTATCGTCCTTATCTCCCTTCTTCTTTTTTATGTTTGTTACTCTCTTGTAACAGCTCTAATCTTGTGGCGCTCATATGACCTTATGCAGTTGCGAGCGCCATAAAACCTCTACTTAAACTAAACTAAACTAAAATGCTCAGTCTTCAGTGGCGTACGTGCCCCAACAAGCGTGGATCCAGAACAGCAGCCTCCGAGACAACATCCTATTCGGCAGCCCTCTCTCCGCCAGGTACCGCCACGTCATCGCGGCCTGTGCCCTGCAGTCAGATCTGGACATCATGCCGGCCGGGGACGCCACGGAAATCGGGGAAAAGGTGGGCGCTGGACGTCACCTGTAGCTTGGCGTAGTAACGGTTAATGTACATATAATACCAGTGTGGGCTAGATTGCTGGTTATCTAAACTGCACTGGTAAATACTCGTCGTACCCATTTCAACATAGATAATATGTCTTTTAAACTCTCCCCCTTTTTTAGAACACATCGGAATGGTGGTCAAAAACTCTTTGGGAGTAGGAATGTGCTTTTCACATCTAATACCCGGTGCCTTTTGGAAGCCCGGATTGATTCGGTTTGATTCGATTTCCGGTGGCTCCAGTGCACACTATAATTAGACGAACCGCCACAAGCGATCACCCGACGCCTGGCCTTGAATGCGTACTGAAGGTCATTATCGGTTTCGTCGGTTTTGCTTTCCCGTGGAGGACTCCATCTAGCACCAAATTAACAAAACATTAAAAAAAACTAACCGAACCGGTGATGCCAAAGGGCATCCAGTATAAAGCGCCAAGAGCTGTATTTTATGGGAATGGGCCCCATAGAAACGATCGGTATTGTTATTGATTCTTTCCTGATATGCTAGCGTATTTCTTGGTAGTAACCCTTTTTGATCTGCCGTTCGGCCGCCCATTTATAAATTAAATGCTTTTTAAAGAATAGCTTTTGTGTCCCTTGAATTTCGACTTTGAGATTGTAGGACTTGAATAGACTCATTATTATATCTTTCCTTGTAACATTTTGTTCCGAAGTCGTAGTATCATACTAAAAGTGCACTTCTCCTCGCCTTTTATTCAGTTTGCACATTCAGGATAATTGCTGCATTATTCAGATCTCCTTTTTTTTTCAAGTCCGGTAAATTTAAATCCCGTGCAACATCATTCCAAAAGAACGGTAAATAAAATGGCGTAAATGGTAGGTCCTACTTCTTTTCTTTGTCTCTCTTGTTTCCGTGTAAATGCCTTACTTTTTCTTAGCACTAAATAACTATTTTCATTTTTTGCGAAGTGCTTTTCTTTGCTCAAATTTTAAAATCCGTAGTATATCAAATGAAGTTGCAGACGAAACTGTTCCAAGACGGCAACCCCAAATCGATGAAAAAAAATGTTATTTGTTAGATAGGTTGATTTCTTGAACAGTGCCATTGCAACAGTAAGTAACAGTAAGTAAATTGTGACCCACATCTCATTACATAAAACAAAAACAAGAAATACAGTTAAATTCATATTCATCTTCAGTTAATGATATTTATACCTCTCACTTAAAGGAGAATTTGTCGTTGTAACATTTTTTTTATAACGTAAAATATGGGAAGCGGAGAGGTCGTTTGTACAGATTAATGTCTTAGACGTATTATGACCTTTTTTGATAATTATTTAGACTGTAGCCTACTATTTATCTTCAGGGCATCAACCTATCTGGCGGACAGAAGCAGCGTGTGTCCCTGGCCCGTGCTGTGTACAGCCAGGCAGACATCTATCTCCTGGACGACCCGCTCAGTGCAGTGGACAGTCACGTGGGCAGACACATCTTTGAACAGGTCATCGGCAAGGACGGCTTGTTAGGTCATAAGGTGAGAGGGCAGGGTGGTTGGGGTAGGGGGGGGGTGAGACTACGTATGTCTGTCTGTGTTACATGTCTATCTATTTGTCTGGGTTTTTTAAAGTAGAGGTTTACGGCGCTCGCAACTGCATAAGGTCATATGAGCGCCAGAAGATTAGAGGTGTTACAAGAGAGTAACAAACATAAAAAAGAAGGGGAGATGAGGACGATAGATGTTTGATAGGAAAGAAGAAGCAGCAAACAACACCAGAGCACCCACCATCCACCCACTGTTTGTCTGTGTCTTTTTATGGGTGTCTGTCTGAAAGAACGGATAGAAACCACCATGAGCAGATGGAAGAAAAACAGTAGATCTAAACTCTTAATCGACAATTTGGGAAACACTGACAATCCCCAGAAGCACCCAATCAGGGCAAACCCTCATAATGATTTATCGAAAACTCTCATAATTGCTTACAACACTTACGACATCTATCTG